GCGGCCGAGGGTCTCCCTCCTTCTGCGCCGAGTGTCAGACTTTCCCCTGGCTTCCCTTCCTCCATCCCCACCACCCCTTTCCACTCCCTCACACGCACATGCACACCCCTCCAGCAAATGGGCTGCTTCGCGCACGGGGGTGTGTGTGTGTGTGTGTGTGTGTGTGTATCTGCGTGTGTGTCAGCGAGCTCAGGCACACACCCACTGTTGCTGGTCCCGGCGTAGGTCACAGTCCCAGCCACCAGGAAATATCAGCTCCACGAGCAGGCATTACTCCGCGCACACACGTTGCAAGCAGCAACTTGCCCACCCTGCACCGAGGGTCCCTGGACTAGCGCGGGCAGCTTTGCCAGGGTGCGCCCCGCACCACGGACCTCTCCTATGCCGACTGTTCACACACCTGTGAGTTCGCTCAGGGGCATCGCACCCAACGCTGCAAGCACCCTGCACAGGTGCTGGTCCAGGTCACAGTGTTCGGGGCAGCCTCAGGTTCCCTCGCGGCACTGAACATTACCCCCTTGACATGTTCCTGCTGAGGCTGAACTGCAGTTCACTAGGTAATAGACTGGGAATGAAAAAAAAGGCAAGCTCGCCACACTTGCTGATAAGGAGAAAGCAGCTGGGCAGTGGCCCAAAACTAGAGGTTGGCTAACATTTTTAAGAATAACCCATGGGCAAAGCTGTAGTTGCCAGGGATACATCTGCCTTTCCATTTATTTGTTTTGCCCGTGGAATGTGCTACATCGGTGGTTCTCCAACTTTTTCATTCTGCAGACCACTTCCTAAGGGAGAATTCCTCTCCTGGACCAACCCCCTCCCACACCAAACCCTTCTCTCCAACATATTTCCTCCTGCGGCTGCCCAAGGAAGAGCCTTGCTGCCCACAGGCTGAGAGCCATTGAACACATGGCACAGATAATATCAGACACTTCCAGACAGGACGCACTGGGGTTCTTTCAAAAACTGGCATCGTTTCCATTAGTGAAGAGCTCAGATTGAAAGCCTTCAGCTGGCAAAGCTTTTGCAGAACAGATTGGGACTGTTGCTCCAGTAAAAGAGCAGCAGAACCAAAGTCCAGTGGAACAAACATCTACTGGAGTTTCCACTATGCTCCCCACCTCAGCAGGACCTCACCCTCACTGATCATGCCCATAAAAGTCAGATGGGAGATCTGGTTATACAGCATAGGATCTAAATATGCTTTTCACATGTCACCAAATTGTTTTCACTTCCCACCAAATTCCAGCTTTACACTTTTTATCTACATTTTTAAAACAGTTCATTACTACAGTACCAAGGTGGTGGTGTTTTTATAAGCTCTGCAAACAGAGATACACAGACTCTATTTGCCTACTTGTGTCTTATATTCCCACAAAATAAACAGAGGAGTTTGAAGACAGGTTGTTTCATAGTTGCCATTGACTTCTGTTATTTTAAGAGCTTAAAAAAGGAATTTTATTCCTGATTTTCCACATTCATTTCATTGTCTGTCATAACAATTTCCATTGCTTTAGTCCCTGGGTGGCCTTTGTGGCTCTGTATTCTGATTGGTATGATGCAAAATAGAACCCAGTTTGTGTTTTAAATTCATGAGGAATGACACTTGTACTCTACTTTGTTCCCAGATCCTGGCTGAACATCACAGGTACTCGATAAGTAACCACCCTTCGCACCAGGAGAAGTTCAACAAAGGGAAAATGAGGAGCAAGTTGATAAGAAAATCCCTGCTGATTTTTGGAGCTTTCTTTGGAACTGCAAGATTGGGCTTCCTTGCATTCTGAAAACATTAATCCTGCTGGGAATAAAACATGCCAAAGAGTGCTACCTGCTTCATATGTTGGAGACTTTTTAGACATAAGTGAAAAGGAAAGTAGTATGAATATCTCCTTATTTGTAGAAACAGTTTGCATTCTCTCTGAAGCGTACAAGAAAAGCTTTTGTAAATGGTCTTATTTTAGCAGCTACTATGTCTTCTTGCAGTTCATGAGAACACATATCCTTGCTGAAATAAGTAACAGAAGATTCATCTTTCAAGAATTATCCTAAACAATTTGTGAAATAATTAAGCGCTTCATTTACTCGAGTGGAAGAAACCAAGAAAAAGATGCCCTCTTGTGGCTATTTTCTGTATGAAACTCAGGAAAGCTCATAACATTTCTGGGTAGAGTGTCAAGCAAACATGCCTTTTTACTCCTTGTTAGCCAACGCTGTAAAGCAAGGTTGCACAAGGTCATACCATGGACAAAGGCAGAAGAGACGTTCGCCATCTGCAGAGTATCATTTCAAATGATCAGTTAATGCATTCCTTAGCACTGTATTTTAAACCACTATTCAGAAAATCCCAGAGTAGGTAAATACAACTTTTCTGGGAGACATAAGAAGGAACTTTACTTTTCATACTGTCTGCATTAATGCTACCTGTTTGAGTGACCTTTTCTTCAGGCTGCATTTGCTCCTTACATGTGGTTACAAGTCCCCAAAAGGTTATAGGAGTTTCTTCACAATTGATAAAAATTGGCTAACGCTTTGATAGAAAAAGAGTTTTTTGAAATTTTAGGTATGTTAATTATAATGATGGTGATGATGATGCTTATTTTGACAGCAGAAGGGACTCTGACTATAGAGTGGAAGATATATACAACAGGTTCTTGCAAATGTGAGTAAAGAATTGGAAAGATTTTTTCCCCTCCTTTTTTATTTTTTACAGCTCAAAGAAGCATTTGAGGCTCCCTTAAGACGAGATTCCACACCCACTGCCCTGGGCAACTGTTCAAATTTCCTATAAGGCCGAGTGGCTCATAAAAGAGCAGAAGCTGAACATCAGATATCTGTCTTTTTCTTTTCTCACTGAACAATACAAGAAGCATGAATTAAATGGCCAAATAGAACTTTAGCCAATAATTTAAAATAGGAAGAAAGGTAAGCTGCTTGTGTTATTTTCTATTCCTTTCCTTTTCTGCTTGATCATAAGTCTGAATACTGTCCAGATATTGTAACGCCAAACTGACATATTGCAGATAAAACTATTTTCATATGAGATCAGTTGTCAAAGCAGATAGATGGTCTCTTAGAAAAGGCTGCAAAAGAAACATGAGACAGCAGCATGCTACTTGACTATTAGCATTTATCTTTATGCTGAGCACTATTAGTCCTTCTGTAAGTAGTGACAGAAATGCCTGCAGCACTATGCAATGCTTTAAATTATTGTTACTTAAATCTCTTAGGGCGAGATACCATTTGCCATATGTAAGCCTAAATAGTACCTAGTGAATCTCTTCTAAAATAAGCACCAAATTACCAATGCATTTGGTGTATTTGAGGTTCTCCAAAGAAAGATCCTATCACTCAAATTTAAATATACAAGTTAAGAAGTTGGGATGTTCTTCTGAAAAATGTCAAAGGAATCTTTCAGTCTCCATTGACAAGACAAAGAAATAAAATGTTGACTTCCAAACCTGAATGGCCTGAAGTCCTGGCAGTACCTATTCCCAGACATTCGCTTCTGCCTCGATTCCCTATAGCAGGCATGAAAGTGCCAAATATGAACCAATTCTGCATCTCTGGCATATTAAGACAACTGAAAACCCGAGATACTTTGCTGAGGGAAGAAACCATCTCATCCAGTCAACCTCAGCTGCCTGCATTTGTGAGTCAGGTGCCAAATGTACCTCTCTGGGGAGGACTGAACCATTAAGCACCCACAGTTAAAGTGCAAGCATATTGTCAGACTGGGTCCCACACTCCCAATACCATCAAGGTCAGATTCCGACACTATCCAGGAATCCCAATCAATATCTTTCGAAGACAACAGGCATATTTCCACTAACAATAATGGGAGGTAGATTGATTGCTAAGGGACTATGTAAAGGAGAGCATTATATATCATAAAGCTACTAAAACCCGTGTGTTTTAAAGAGGATAGAAAAGAAACAGAATAGTATTAGCAAGGTGTTGACTTGCCATCTCGTAACCCCTTTGAAGGCAAAGGCGGGTCCTCTTTCTGCAGCCCGTGGTCCTACCTTATGTGAGCTGGAGTAGCCCGAGTTTACCCACTGCCCCAAACAAATTCAGCTAGGCTAACCGGCTGAGGGACTCCAAAGCAAAACAAGGGACTCAGCTCACTCCTTGAATTGGAAAGTCTATTTTACTTCTAATGTTGACAACATTAATGCAGCACCTGCACAGCAGTGTACATAGATCTCATATTCCCCGGTGCCCCCCTTCCCCGAGGTGTTAAAGCTAGGGGTTCCTCTATTCTCGGTCTGGCCCTTTTCTTTTCTCCTTACAGTACAGCTCGGAGAAAGCCTTGACATTACGTTTGTGATCTGATTTAAATGCTAACAGTATTTCTTTTTAAATATATATATTTTTTCTTTATGTTAAATATACACAGGTAATCACATAGAACCAGGCATCTAAAATGCATCCCTTTTCTCACTTCCCACTGTGCTTGGGGAACATAAAGTTGACCGTGCCTGCAAAACCTTACTGACACAGCAGGTTTCTTCTAGTGCTCTTTTTCTACTTTGATCCGATCCTCCCAAGCTCTACCTGCTCCAAAGCACTATGAACAAGAAGCACTAAGAGCAGAGAGACAACAGGTCAGGGCTCCTTCAGTCTACCAGTTTGTGAAGAAGCTCGACAAATACTGAGCAGCGTAGTGGAAGAAATCCCATCGAATGTCAAAATGTATGAAGGTGGGCATTTCTATCTCCCAGGGCTCCCAAATGAGAGCCAGTTTCATGGGGTGCATTAATTTAAGATGCAGAAGATAATCCGTCTCTACTGAGATGATGCTCTAAGAAAGAGATGAAAGGAAACTGTATGAAAGGCACAGAGAAAAAGTCATAGATGACACTAAAAAGGGGGCAAAACCTTCCTGAAGAGATTAAGTGAAAACAGAATACCCAGCTTTGTCTTGCTGCCAAACTCCTGGCTAATTGTCAAACCTTACTCGTACGGGATCTGATCTTGAATTACTAGACATGTTCAAACTCTGTTGCATTTAAGTTCGCTCAGAATATCACAGGCCTATGTACAGATTACGTTATATGTCATGTCCAAGGCACCTTATTGCTTTAAAGCGTATCCTCTGCAGAACTTTATGATTACGAAAATAATTTCCAAGGAAAATTAACAGAAGCTCATTTTCCTGCTTTATAGCAAATTATACTTCTTTTACATTCCTAAGAAGGTATTTCTACCTTCCGTCTCTACTTCCAATTAAACTAGTGGTTGAGCAGGTCAGACAGTGGTTGAACAGGTCAGACAACTGGCCTATTGATTTAATGGCTTCGGCAGCAAGCATGGGAGTATAGGAATAAATTCTACTCTGAACTGTGTCTAAAGAGGTCCAGTTCCCGTCAGTAGTGGTTGCAGAATAATAAAATATCCTCTCATTTTAATAAAACATGAGTGCTACAACAAGAAAAGATTCCATGTATTTTCTTATCTCTGAACATAGGATATCTAGTTCTGTTTATCCTTAGCACGAAAAAAAACCTTTGTATATGC